AAATGCTGCTGAGACTGTGGAGAAACTGGAATTTTTATTCACTATTGGTGGGAGTGTAAAATGGTACAACCACTATGGAAGGCTGTATGGTGCTTTCTCAAAAAGTTGCAAATAGAAATACCATTTAACCCAGCAATTCCACTACTGGGAATTTTCCCTAAAGAAACCATAACTGCCACCCAAGCAGATATATGCACACTCATGGTTATTGCAGCTTTGTTCACAATGGCAAAGAGCTGGAAACAACCCAAATGCCCATCAACAAATGAATGGATAGAGAAGCTCTGGTATACTCACACAATGGAATACTATCCAGCATTGAAAAATAAGGAACTCATGAAATATTAAGCAAAATGGATGACCTTGGAGGACATTATGCTGAATGAAATATCTCAGTCACAAAAGGACAAATATTGCATAGGGCCACTGTTGTAAAACAGTACTGACATAACGGTTGAGGGAAGACAGAAAAGGAGGGGAGGAATGAGGTATATTGCATTGAAACAGATGAGGAAGAGAACTGTTTAAAAGGGATATATGAATGGGTATTCTTGTCCAGAAGTCCAGAGTGAAGGCTGCATAGTGGAGTGGACTTGGGGAGAGGGATTGCATAACAATGAAAGAGTTTTTCTTTTTCTTTTTAAGGAGAAGAGTGAATTGGGGAGAGGGGGTGGGTAGAGAGATAAGTGCAACAACGAATGACTGGAAACCCGAAGTCTCTGTAAACTTTCATTAAAATTAATAAAATTTAAAAAAAACCAAACAGCACAGAAATGTTACAAAAAATGTTTATTCTGTAATACTTTGTCATAATGAATTGCATCTCTTTGGTAAAAATAAACTTTATAAACATTTTAATAACCAGATTAGATAAAAAAACTAAACATTTGTAAGTTGTTTTTAATATGAGCAAAAGATTGGCAACTGAGAAGTGGCTCACATGTGAATGGTCATCGATTGGCAGTTAAAACCCAAACTCAGAAAAAAGTTTATGCTGCATCAGTTAAAAAGACAAGGAAACAGTTTAATATCTCAAATTTCTTGCATCAGAAAGCATTCTTACAATTCCATTTAAAAATAAATAGTTACAATGAATTGGCAACTAGACATCTTTATATACTGTATGGTGGCAACATAATACTTTAAAAGGAAGCACTTAGTTGAAAAAAATGTACAACTTAAAACAAAGTTTGACAATGGCACTGGCAGTCAGACGCAAACCATATGCTTTAAGGAAAAATGGTAGTTGTGATATTAAAATACTTTGCCTTTCAATAAATACTTTGACTACATCATTAATATACTGATGTAAACTTTGTTTTAATCAAAGCTTACACATTTCAAACTAATGAAAAACTATAATATGAAAGTAAATCTGAAAGCCTCAAAGTTTCATCATAAAATGCTGTGGACTTCACAAAATGCTGTTAAATTACTGGAGTGTTTAAGACTGCCTCCACGGTTCTGCAAAGTACTCAACATCTGTGGCTTAAACTGTTGGGAGAGGCCTCCTGGTTTACTGAGATATGGGCATTACCTCCCTAACTCTTTCTAGCTTGAAATTCATGCTAAATATATTTAATTGGCCATCAAGTATGAACCCTTTACAGAATGCTGCAGAAAGTAGCAAAAGGGGGGGGGGAATAAATATTTATAGATCCCAAACTTTCCAACAGAGAAGCCTAGGAGAAGGGAAGTCATGCAGCTATGAAGAGGGCAACAAAGGCCAAAGTTGGGGTGGGGGAAGGAGATGGCCCACTCCCCTGAGTAATCTGTTGGCTTTCTTTAAATTTTAAAAAGAAAAGTATTAACTAATTTAGTAGTATAATGAAGAAATAAAAATGTCAAAATTTAAAAGAAAAAAAACCAAACAAACCCACAAACCCTAAGACAATCCTTGATTCTATCTGGGGTATGAAAAATGACAATTAGCTAAGCCAAACTTTTACCAGGATCATTTATGAACTGGAATCAATTGGGACACAATTCAACATTTTAGCCGAAGACAAAATTATATGTCTTTTTAAAAAAACAAACAAACAAAAATAATTGTTGGAAAGCTCCCAGGCACATAACTTCCTCCAGAGTTTCAAAGCTCTTTTTTGTTATGATAGTATCTGTTGCTATTACAGTATTGAAAACTCCATTTCCAGTCTCTATGATATGAAATGGCTTTCTTTAATTGGGTGGTTAACAGCTATGTTTCTATGTCAACAGAACAAAGAAATGGGATGGTAATTCCCATGGAAGTAGTAGTAGGGAGATGAGAATTGTGTTGCATGAGGGAGCTCTGGTGGGTTAGTGGGCAAGAAGTTGCACTCCCAACCAACAGCACGTGGTTTGAATCCACTAGCTGCTCTGTGGGAGAAAGACTGGCAACTTCCTCCTGTGTGTGTGATTTACAGCCTCTGAAAACCCACTGGCAGGTCAACTATTAATCAACAGTACACAACAACAACAATAGCTGTCTCTGTTAAACAGACCTGAAGAATGGGATCATAATTCTCATGGAATATAAAGGAAATGATAATTGCGTAGTTAAAAAAAAAAAAAGGGTATTCCCCCTCCTTGAAAATAACTACCTTGAGATACTAGCAAATGAAAAATCATGCACTGAATTCTGTACAAATGGACATGTGAAATATCATGGAACTTATTCCTATTATCATTTTTAGTGTACAAGCATTTTTTTCCTTGCAAGTTAGGAACGTTAACATATTTTCATAAAGAGGGAGAGAAAATGAAGAAATTTACATTAATACAAAATAATCCTGATTTTTTTCCCCCCAATCTCTGCTCTTTATCTCATTTTCCTTTTCTTAGAATAATTATGTAATAGACGGGAACTAGGGAGCACACTGGTGGTCAGAATTTCAAGGAAAATAAACTGGAATCAGATCACTGAAATACTATTTCTAAGGGCTGGGGTAAATAGCTTATAAATGTGAAGGTGGTTTTTATGCTTACTAGTTATACTACAGTTAAAGCACTTTTTTGTTGGTTTATTCCCTGACTGCAGTAAAAGGTAGTAAATCTAGCCTAGCCATTTTCTGTAATAGATGGGACTACTTCTCACTATCAGTGAATTAAAATATTACTATTTTTCCATAGCATTGATCAATGTTATTATTCAGGCTCAATTACAATTAACATGGGGAGTGGAAATCATCACTGGCTAAAAGTACTGCCGACTGAAAAAAATAGTTTCTGAATCTTATTTTCTCCAAAATAAAATCTGCATTGACATAGGAATAATTGTTCCCATTAAAAACATGCAAGAGCATACTCTATATTATAAACAGGTGAAAGCTAGGAATGCACATCTTGAACCTGAACGCTGTCTATGTATTTACTGAAACAGAAAAATTAAAGCAAAGCCACTGCCTATGAAAGAGTAGAGCATGAATTTAAGACTGAACTTTTAAAATGGTTTTCTAATAAAGGAAAAATAAAATTTAGTTTTATGACCATCCCTTCTTCCTTCTGAACAATACAGTTAAACTACGCAAATCACATTATGAAAAAAAATTCCTATAAGCAGATTTCTTCAAATACTTAAAACATTAAGTCAAAACACTTTAAGAACAGCAAGGATTAATGGCACAGAGAGGCATTTTCCGGAGTCCTGCATTTTCAGGTCAAATGGCTCAAATGCAAACCAAAAGTTGGCAGTACGAAGCCACCAGCAGCTCTGAGGGAGAAAGACGTGGCAGCTTGCTTAAGAGGAGACTGGCGGCCTCAGACATTCTCCAGGGCAGTTCCTCTCCACCCACCAGACGAGCTGAGTTGGAATCCACTTGGTGGCAGGTAGGTTTAGTTTGGTTTTGAGTATTACATTGCCTCCCACAACCTGTGTACTGTCACCGGTGATATTTTCGACAAATTTGAAAACCCATAAGGGGGTATTTCACTCTCCTGTTTTGCTAAATTGTGTGTATTTAGATTTGCATAACAAAATTATTTCAAAGCTTGGACTGAAGGGTTCCCCCCAAAATGGTAGACCTTAACGATAACAAAGTAGTGAGCATTTAAACAATTATTTTAGATTATACTCCATTCCTTTTACAAGACTCTCAGAATTCAGAACATTTAACAAACAAATGAAAGACTCTCTTATGGCAGCAGTGGTAAGTCAAAATGGGTGCTACTCCAAGACCCACTTCATGGCTGTATCCTTTCACTGGACAGTTTCAACTAAACAAGACAGAGAATGAGTAAAATTTTAAACAATGGTCACAGAGCATTTTGAGAAAGAATAAAAGGGGTCAGTAAGTGCTATGTAATATTTCTGAAGTGAAAAAAAAATTCAAAGATAACACTGTATTAGGAATTGGGAGTATTTTCTGAAGGAAATTTCACCACAAAATTGCTTTTTCTCAATTTCTGCACTCTTTGTTGTATTCTCTACCTATGTAAAGAAAAGAACTTAATATACTCTAGAATCTCTTCCAATTTATCTTTAGCCTTCTTCATGCCACAAAAAACCCCACAACAAAAAACCCTAAAAATTAAGATAAAACTTTAAAATCTGGATTGTGTCATAGGAAGAATATTAAAGAGAAACACATCAGTAAAATTTTAAGCTGGATCAGTAATTATAGTTACAGACAGAAAAGGAGAAAGAAAAAAAACTCTTACAGAGTTGAGTTGCAAATTCTTACACTGACATATTAACAAAAGGAAAGATTTTTTTTTTTCCTATAATTTTAAGACAGATGCTGAATCTCCACATCTTGGAAACACTTATCACAAAAATGATCCTTTTAGGACTGCACGTTATATATTTCTGATTGGGCATGATCTTAACAGCAATTATTTAATAATAAAATCTTTTTTAAAAAAAACAAACAAACCCTCAAACATTTTGAAAGAAATAATTAGTATCCCCACCTCCCCACCCTAAAACTAAGTAAGTCCATTATGGCTTTGACATCCCTTGTAAAGAATAAAGTAGAAGAGTATTGCCACACTTAAAAATAATTTCACACTAATAAGGATTTCTATTTTTTCCGCTGCTTTTGCGTCTTCACAGTACTTATTAGGGACCCCACACACGTACGAACGCCTGCAAGGTGGAGCAGAGACCCAGCCGCTTCTTTGAGCTCCTCATCAATCTCTTGACATGACTGCTTCCGCATCTTTTTGGCTGGCTGTCCTTGTTCAGCGGTGTCGGCACAAGGCCGGGATGCAAAGCCACTGTCTGCAAGTGGATCATCTTCATAGTCAACGTCTGTATCCTCTTCGCTGTGAAATCCTTCACTGCCATCACTCCCTGCATGGCTGCTCTTTGGGATAAATTCAAATACCTCATCCACAGAAGACAGGGAAGACACACTGGACCTGGACGCACAGCGCTGAGCCACCACACTACTGGCACTGTAATTGTGGTCCTCCTTGGGGTCAATGCTGGTGGCTAAAGAATCGCTCTCTTGTAAGCACACAGCACCAGGAGGGTTAAATGCATTGCCATAGCTCCTCTTTTTTTGCAATGATGTTTTAAGAGGAAGAGGTTTCTCACCTGTGGAAAGGAACATTTCATCAATAGGTGAAAGGCATTTGGTTGCAAAGAGAAGCCATTAAAAACTACAGTATTAAAGAAGTATGAGACTTCAATCAGTTTCAATACTTGGAATTTATTTGGACTTTGATGTGAAGAAATAAATTGCAAAGAAGATTTATGAAATCATCAGAGACTTCAGAATACAAACTTCATATGTGATTGAGAACAAACTGAACAATAGGCAAAGAAAATAAAATATGCGACTGACTACTCTTGATTAGCACATGCCTCAGTTAGTGGGTGACTTTTTTTCTCATACATAATCTGAAAGCTCCTTAAACCACTTAGCAATATACATAATTTATCCTTTCCATGGATAATGTCATTTTTTTTAAATGTCATTATTTGATACACAAGATGCCTCAATAAATGAATAGAAACAGAAAATAGTTAAGGTTATGTTGATCCAACTTTTTCACCAGTAAAAATAATATTTCCAGTATGCTGCATATGTTTGTTAAAGACATCTTTTGTCATTGAGAACTCTAAAATGTTGATATTTCATTAAATTCATCAATCTTTTCCTTCTTGGATGAGATATTCTGTATCTTAGAAAAGACTGTCCAAAGTTACAAATATATTTCCTGTCTTAGATTCTCTGACTTTTAATTTTATTTTGTTTGTGTGTTTGTTTGTTTTTATTAAATTTTATTAGTATTAATGAACATTTACAAGGATTTTGGGTTTTCATTCCTTCATTGCTGACTTTTAATTTTAGATCTTTAAGGTCATTTTCTAAATCTACTACTTTACTACTAATTTTGTTTTAGTATTTCTGGTGGTATAATGCATAGGGTGTTGTGCTAACAAAAAGGTCTGCAGTTTGAATCCACCAGCCAGCCTACAGCAGAAAGATGGGCAGCTTCCTCTACTCAGATTTAAGCCTTGGAAACGCAGTGGAAGCTGTGATGAGTCGGAGTGAATGACAACCGTAGGCTTTGTTTGGCTCTACTTCTTATTTAATGAGAGAAGTTCTATCACAGAACTAACTTCAATCTCTCAATTGTTCTCATATGAAACCACAATTTAGTGAGAAAGGAGGACTGTAATACTTTCATTTTTTGTATTATATTTGAAAAGGTACTCAGAAAAAATGTATTTTAAAAAGAAAAGCATAATTGCTTACATTGTAAAATTCCTTGTTCTATAGAAGTCTTTAAAAGCATCATTGCAGTGGCAGCATCAATATCAGATTCTGAAAAGGGAAAAGAGTAGCAATATTAATGTTTGCAAAAAAAATTATTAAAAGTATTTGTATGTGTCCAAAGGTAATCAATGTTAAGTTGTTGGTACATCTTCTTCTATATATATATATATATTTTTTTTTTTTAAAAAAAAAAGGTAAGTAAATAATTACAAAAAGGGGGCTGTTTTCTCTTTAAAAATCTATCATCTGATGGGCCCACAGGGAAGCACACTGTTGGCCACTGCATGAATGAACACTCCTTGAGCAACCCTTGGCTATGCACCTGCACTAGTGTTAATTCATCAAATCCTCACAACATTCCATGTGGATACTATTAATATTTGTGTTTTAAAAATGAGAAAACAGTATCAAGGAATAGCAGAGGTGGGATTTAACTACTAGAACACAGGTTTTTAATTATTCCTTTAATCCATCCTTTAATACTTAATTCTATAGCCTGTTACTCATTCAATAAATTTAGTATGCTACTATGAGTCGCCCATTATTCCAGGCTGTGAGGTTATAGCAGAAAATAAACCAGGAAAACCTCCTTCTGCTCAGAACACAAGGGCAGATTTAATACAACCTATTAAGTTAGTAATAAGTATGGGGAGAAAATGAGTTACGGAAGGGACAACAGTACAGGGAGGTGGTGGCAATTTTAAGTACTGATGTCAGAAAAAGCCTGTGGAAGGCAATATCTGAGCAAAGACCTGAGAAGAGAGTCATATGAGGGAAAGGATTTCAGGAGGAATAAAGAGCAAGTTCAAAGGATATGAATCAATGATATGTAATTGCAGGGGACAACAAAACAAAAACCTAATTACTGTCTAAAATGTTACAGAGTTCAGAATTCTAACATGTCTTTGAAGAAAAAAGGTACGAGGGCTAACCCATATGGTATCTCTGTGTGAACTGGAACAAAGGCCAACTACTCCTCACAGGGCACACAATTTGGAGAAAGATGAGTGGGTGGCTTTTCAGTTCTGCCCCCGCCTCAGCCAGGTGGCCGCGCCAGGCACAGCGTGCACAGCTTCAAGCAAGGCCCTACCAGGGGCACTCTATGATGGCACCTCCTCCTACCCCTTCTCAAAGTCTACCTTGTTTGCAATTTTTATTCTTAAAATTATTAATCCAAATTGAAGGGCTGATTTACAGAGCCACTTCTGAACAACAAAAGGGAAATTTGGAAAAGTTCACAAGAACACATACTCAGCGAGAAATAGTTAAACTGTGTTATTTTATA